CTAGGAAGAGGAACGGGCAAGGTGGACGGAGGGAAAGGGCCAAAGAGCAGAAATGCCTAATGCGCCGCGCGGTGGCCGTCCCTCTTTTGCCCCCTGCTCAGTTGCGACCTCCACTCGGGGCGGCTGGACGCGGTGCGTGCGAAGCCGGCTCCGCGGGAAGGGCCGCCCTGTCCGCACCTGCCTCCCCTAGCGAGCCCTCAAAATCCCAGGGCGCGCGGCAGGCTCGCTCAGGACCTTGCGCCGCCCATAGGTGCGCAGCAAACGCTTTTGTCATCGTCAGTCCCCCGGGCCACCCAGGCCGGCGCCTGCCCGCGGGGCGGAGGAGCTCTGCCCTGGTGGCGGCGAGGTCACGCAGGTCGCGCTCCCAGACCCGAGGACGCCGCTCCCGCCCGATCCCACCTGGCTCTGGTTTTCCGCGAGGATGGACCGCGACCGAGCGAGGAAACCACTCGAGCGGAGGTCCTATCTCCTCTCTTCAGTCCCGACTTTTCGTCTTACCTGTACACGGACATGGGACCGCTCAGTGCAGACCTTCGCCCCTCACCCGCCCCACCTGCCTGCTCTTTGTCCTGGTTAAATCGTTAATTCCTCTCCCTGAGCGCCCTGAGACTGCGGCTTCCCAGGCGGGCTCCCCTCCGCCCTCTCTGCCCTCTCCGATCTAGGCATGGGAACGGAGGAGGCCGGAGCCAGCGCGCCCCTCGGGCGCCCTCGGCCTCCCGCCACCCCAAGCGAGGCACGGCCGCAGTCACCCGGGTTTCTCCAAACTCCCTCTGGCTGGTGCGTGGCTCTGGCCCGACGCTGGGACGGGATCCTCGCGGTTGGAGAATCTGAATCCCCAACCCGCGAGGCCCGAATCTGCCGACGGGGACAGCCAGTCTGACCTTTAAAAGTTGGCCCGCCCCTGACAATATTTTTTGTGACGCGGGGAAGGAGGTTTGTGGCGTCGGGGGCTGCTGTTTGGATATCTGTACTGGAATCTGATGGAATTTCAATCTCTCTCTCTATATTTGTTTTTTCCTGGCACCACGAGAAAAGACAGGAGTGGGAAGAAGAGCAAATCCCTGCTCTAGAGTTTGAGAGAACTGCCCACCGGGAAGTGAGCTCACTCCACCCTTAAGAAATGGCCTACAAGAGGATAAGGTCGGGGACGAGGATTCTAACGCGACCAGTGCAGGGAGCCTCACCCCACGCAGGAGCGCCAGGAAGGGAAGAAAGGGTAGTGGGGCGACCTGAGGAGTCCTTCGCCCAGATCCTGCCAAATACAAAATCAAATGCCCTTTCCCCACAGCTTCGGGGTTCACATGAGCGCAAGATAGATCTTTTAGGAGACAAGCAAGGGATGGGAGACGCCCGGGCTGGCTTCTCATTTACCACTCCCAGCCTGGACCCGGCGAATCACTCCTTCCTCCCGCGGGGCTGGCCTGCTCCCTAGCCAGCGTTCCGGGATGTCCGTTGTCCTTTCCTGCGAGCCCCGGGAGACTACGTGTGAGATGGACCAAAACCGAGGGCAAGGGGCGGATAAAACGCCCACCTCCCTGGACATCCCTCACTATTCCCAAACGTCTTGGTCAGCAAGAGGGGCCGACAGGACCCAGGTGCGTGGGGGAACTGCTGGATTCGGGGAGGAGAGAGGTTCGGAGGAGGCTAAGAGGCCAGCGCACCCAGCGCTGGGTTAGGCGCTGTGGGGACTCGGACCTTGGCAGCCCTGAGGGAGGCAGCGGGGACGACCCCAGACAAAGGCAGGTTGTGCCGGAAACAAGAGAAACCAGCCACCCTAAATCGTGGGCCAAGTAGCTGGGACGCATCAGTTTAGGACGAAGTCCTTTTGTGAACCTATCCACTGGCGCCCACAAAACAAGGAACTCTGCGCGTCCTGGATGTGACCCCGAGGGTGTCGAGGGTGTTGCCTCCTGCAGAGCACTCCCACCACTCAGAGCAAGGAGCCGGGGTTCGAGTTCCTTAAAAAACACTGACCTGAGGCGGCGAGAGGGGGGCTGCCCCGCCCACCAGTCCGCGCTTTGGGCGGGGGCGGGGTGTTCTATTTCTCTACCCAAAGTTGGTCTCGGATTGCTCCCAGCCTCCTCCCTCCGGATTCTCCTGAGCTTCTTGCTCAGGCCTACGCCCCTCAAACGGATAAAGACCCCCGAGTTTGTCCGGAGAAGCCCCAGCCGGGCGCGGCCCGATCGGGCGACCCAGGGGCTCTCGGAGCGGGAAGGCCGGGACCTGCTCCGCAACCTCTGCACGGAAAAGCAGGAGGACAGCAATCGCTTCAAAGACCAGGCCACCCAGGAGCGAGCAGTGTCGGGAGGCGCTGTGTGTGGGGGGCGCACAGGGTGTAAGGAAGAAGGCCACCAAAAGAGAGAAATGATTACATAATTTGATAACGTCTTCCTGAAGGGAATGCGCCTCACCCATCCCTCCAAAGCAAAAGACTATACTGGATCCTAACCCCTAAAACACCCCTAGAGGCCAAGGCACGAGAGGCACTGAGGTTGGGGAATCTCTAGACCTGCGCTGCCAAGTGCTCCATCTGTGGTGGCCCAGAGTGAAGAACCAGAACCTGGTGGTGGGGTGGCAGGTGACCCTTCCAGTTGGTAGGTTGGAGGGACCCCTGCGGGAGAGCCTTTCTGTTGTCTCCTCCACTACCAGGTTTAAACACCCACAGCCGGAGATGAACCCCTCTTCCTCCCTGAGGCCCAAGGGCATGTCCACCCCACCCCCCCGTGGAATTCTTGGGTCCGATGCCCCAAGAAAGAGAATGATTGGGTATATGTGCCAGAGGGGGCCAGTCCCCCAGTGCCCAGCACCAACAGCTTAATAGCCAGAAGCCAGATCTGCTGCAATGGGGGAGGGTAAAACCCACACACATCCCCAAAAGAAAAAAAAAAGCTGATCCCAAAGCTTTCAGGGATTGGTCCCCTAAATTTTGGCCAGTGCCTCCTCCAACCCAGGCCACAGAACCAGGGCAAGACAAAAGGAAGGACAGACCAACCCCTCCTGGTTCAGCCTTGCCTCACTGGACCACCCTAGAATGAGAGTCCCCTTCTCTACCTCATTAAGTTTTCCACAGTTCCAACCCAGACGCCGAGGCCTGACGAACTGTAGCTCTGAAGGTGAGTTCTAGGCAATTTAGGAAATCGAGCTCCTGACGACAAAATCAAAGCTGTCTCTGAGTAAGAAAAACAAAAAGTGAGACCTTCTGAGAGTGTGTCCTGCGCATCCAAAGAAAGGCTATCAGAGCAAAACCCACCGTCTTACATTGCGGTCCTAAACAGAGGCCACCTATGGACCACAACTATTAAAGCACAGCTGTATCGGGTAACAAGGACACGAGTCACACACACCTGCGCCCACTCACACACTCCCCTCACTCGCGCAGAGGTACAATCAAGCTGCAGCACCTTTGCCAGGGTTTGTGTTTGTGCAGGGACTGACAATCCACTCCCTCCCTGCCCTCGGTGGGCTGGGGTAGTAAGGAGTCAGTGAATCCCGAACGCCTTCCACAGACACATCTTAACGGTAAATTCCCCAAGGCACAGCGCAGACTTGGAACTGTTTGCCAACAGTTGACAGAAAAAGATACAAAACATAGCTGTAGTATATAGTCAAGGAACGACCTAAGTAGGTTTGAGTGAAGCTATCCTCTTCTAGTCCCTTCTCACAAACTTCCCAGGAAGTCGCGGGGTAGGGGTGTGAGGGGACAGACACGCTCGCCAGCCTGCCTTGGAGGTACTACTGGGGCAGAAACCATGTCATGGAGATCCGGGGCGCAGGAGGGCGCGCTGCTGCGCCCTAGTTCCTAGGTAGGCACCCTCCGTGGATGAGCCGGTCCTTACTTAAACCTCAAGGATGTAGCTATCGGTCCACTGAAGAAGTCGCGGGCGGAAGCAGAGCCCCTTGGCGAGCAGAGGGAGGGAGCCCCTCTTCTCTCTACCGTGCCCAGGGGCTTTCCGCAGAACCCGCGAGGCTGCGGGGCAGGGCTCACGCGGCGCCAGCCAAGCGAGCGCGACGCCACGGGACCTGCTCTGGCCTCCGCACAGACTCTCCATCGAAGACCTCGTTCACCAGTAAAGAACAGAGAAAATTCTCACCGGGAAAATCCCTGCGCGCGCGCGCGCGCGCGCGCACACACACACACACACACACACACACACACACACGCACGCACCTGCGGATAAACAAGCCCCGAGCTCCGGCCGCCTTCCTAATTTCGGGCACGGGAAAGAAAGCGCCCGCACATCCTTCTCTCTCCCCTTTCGAATCCGAACCATACTGAGAGCCTGCTCTCGCGTCCGCCAAGGCTGTACCCCGAGTTCACAACTTCGTCCCGGTGCTTCTCCCTCCTTTCATTCCTCTGTTAGCTGGAATATGGCGAGTGGACTTCCTCACCAGGAGCCGGCAGTCCCTGGCGGCGCAGGCGGCGGGCGCCGCGGGCAGCAGCGGCTGCGGACGCACCAGGCGCGCACGCCCTGCGCGCGGGGACAGCGCGTGTGGCCTGGGCTTCTGCGCCGCCAGCCCCGGGGGCGGGGGACGCGCTCTCTAACTTCCCGCCAGCTGGGGTGAAGTTGCACTAGCGGTACTGCGAGCTTTGACCGTAGCCCCCTCACCCGGCGGGGGAGGAGGGTTTGGGGGACCACCCCAGCGCTTAGGCCTGGCCTGCAGCTCTTTCCTCTGGTGTCTGTCCCCAGACAGCACTCTCCCCAAGGCTCCTAGAAAAAACATGGGCTGTGGATGCGGGGTTCGGTATCCCTAGGCTCACCTCAAGCACCATCCGGGAGGCTTTCACTTTCGGCCCCCAAAAGCCAAGGGCCAGGCCCTTCAAACGCACTCTGGCTGGTGGCCCTGCCCTGTGACCTCCTCTGCGCCCGGGCCGCCGGCCCGTCGCCCCGCCCGTCCCCTCCGGTTCAGGCTACGCGCAGCGTCCGGCCCGCCCCAAACCGGCCAAAGCTGCCGGCCGTCTTGTTATCAAATTAAGTCAGCGAGAAAGGGGGGTGTCTTACGTTGCATCGGCACACCAAGCATCTCCGGGAGCCCCTTGACAGCCCCCTCCGCGGGGACAGCTGCGCTCTGCATCATCTCCGAGCGAGAGCCAGCGAGTCGCAGTCTACGGAGATTTCTCGTTCTCTCGCTCAAGCTGGATTCAGAAATTTGAAAATAATAAAAAACCCAACCAGACCGCCGAAGTCACGGTGGAAGCCGGACCCTCCGCCTCTACAGGAGGATTCCACAGGCTGCCTGGCCCCCTCCCCCCGCCAGTCCTCAGTCTGTTTCAAATCCCTTTGATCTCGCTCTCCCGGGTTGGTGCACATCCCGGGTTGAGGAGACGCTGTTGCTGCAGCTCTGGCTTTTTTCCCCTCCTCCCTCCCCCCGCCCGCTTCTCTCCCCCTCCCCCTCCACCCTTCGCGTGCCGGCCGCCCAGGAGGCCGCGGTCACCCAGGCATTTTGATTCATTCACACTGCAGGAACGGCCGTGACGTCGCTTTCCGCAGGGAGGCCCGCCCTTCAGCCAAGCCCCCCACCCAGCAGCGAGCGGCGGACCCAGGCCCGAGTGGTGGTGCTAGCGCCCTGAGAGAGGCCGGCCGGGCAGGAGGGCCGGACCGCATGGAGCGGGGCGGGGCCTCACGGGCCGTTCCCCCTGCTCCCCGCGGTGCGGGCTAGCGCCCCGTGTATAAATACTGCAGCTGGCTCGGCCGCGGCAGCAGGTGGTCCCGGACGGCCGCGTCTGGGGCTCGCAGGTTTCCGTGGATCCTCTCGGGGTTCCGGCCTCAGCCGGCGGCTCGTGTCCTCTCCGCCCCTCCGTTCGAACCAAGGGGCTGGGAAGGGCGGGGCAGGCGCTCCGGAGGCCTGGGTCGCACGGCGGTGTCTTCCCGTCGCGCTCTCTTGGTCCCGGGCTTCTCTCGGGCGGACGGAGCGTGCTCCGTAACTAGATGACCCCATCCTCCTCCCCCTCCTCCTCCTCCTCCCCCTCCCCTCCGGCCAATTCCTGTCCCCACCCAGGACGCGGGGAGTCACGCAGCGGGCTGCGGCGGGCCGAGGAGAGCAGACAGGGGCTGCGCACGGAGGTGGCAGGGCGCGGGCCCCCGGTGCGCGTCCCCGCACGCCGCGGCCTGCAGCCCCGAGTCGGTTCCTCAGTCCTTTCCCGCCCCGTCCCGACTGCTCTGCCCGCGTCCTCTCAGCTTGTCCTGCCCTCGGTCCTCAGAGACAGCTCTGCCTCAGCGCTGCGACCGCGGGCGTTTTGAACAATTCCCCACCTCGTGTGTGCGGGGCGGCAGCGAGCACACCACCCGAGGGGCTAACCAGCAAAGGCGTGTGTGTTGTTACGGTATTTACAACACACACACACACACACACACACACACACACAGAGCAATTCTCAACGCGAGTTCCTGGAGGAAATAAAACAGAAGGCCCACCGCTGGGACAGGTCTCCGCCGAGGTTTCCTCATGCTTCATCAGATTCTCTACGCCGCCTGACCGGCAGACGCGGAACACCCAACCCCCGGACCCGGCGGCTTTCTGGATCCCAGAGCTCGCGACACCGCCACTCGGAATTCGTTCTAGATGTAGACATATGTGTAATCCCAGCATAGTGGGGTCCAGCCCGGGTGGGAAAGGGAACTGTGTGCTCTCTCCAACTTTACAGCGTGTCCCCTGCTTTTTCTCCTGGCGTTGTCCCCAAAAAGGGGACACCAGGGTTTGTGAGGGACAAGCATGAGTGTGGGAGCGGATGGCATGGCTGCCAGCGCTTAGAATTTGTTTTCAATGAAGTCACAGTGACTTCTATGTGACCTAGTACTGGGTTGGCATCATCTCTTGCCCTGTTTACCTGCGAGGTAACTCCAGGGCACAGGAAAAAAGCCAAGAACCCGGTGACATTTTCAGTGTTTACCAAAATGTTTTCTACAAAAATTTAGCTAGTAAACAAACACGAGGAAATGCCAGCCTCATTAAGAATCAAAGACACGAAAAACAAAGCATCGTAGCACTTACACCTTTTTTGTCTGTTCAATGAGTAAAGGGGGGCGGATGGTAGAATTCAGTGCTGGTGAAGGTTACTTGATACTGCTACTCTCACAAATATTGTTGGTGTGCTTATAAGCTCTTAAATTCGTTTGGAAAGCAATTAAGCAATATGTATCAAACCCATACATTTTTCATACCCCTTAGCTCATGAAATTCCACTTTTGAGTGTCTATTCCACAGAAATAATAAAATTCGAAACAAGTTTCATACATGAAGATGCTTATTACAGCATTACATTTTGGAGAAAAATAACCTAAATATCCAACAAAAGAAAAGTAATATACAATTATTGAAACTAATTATGAAACCTAGCAACATGGAAATGCTTGTGAAATACTAAATTTTTTAAAAAGCAGAATGCACTATTGTATGATTATAAGTATGTAAAAATGTTAAAGATAAAAGCAGTGATAATCCCATTGTTGGCTAGGGTGTGGGGAAATTAGAAAACAGTTTCCTGGTGGGTATGCAAAGAGGGACAATGTCCTCTGAGGGCATTTTGGCAATATCTTTTATAGGCCAACAGTGTGATGGATTTGACCCAATCCATACAAAAATTTGTCCACAGTAAATAATCAAGAATATTTATAATGATATAGTTGCAAGGACGTTTAAAAAAGAGAATAACCTACGTATCCAACAGCAGGGGATTATTAGAGTATATAAAATGGAATGTTACAGTCATTAGAAAATACAACGCAAGAGTAATAATGTAGGAAAGTGTTTGAGATTTATAAGGAAGTGAGGGAAAAAAGAGAATATGAAGCAGTATGAACTTTAGGATAATTATTTTTTAAAGAAGCGTAAATAGAAATATATATAAATATAAAAGTGGTTACCTGTACATTATAATTTTTATTTTCTTCTTTTTGCTTTTTTCAGTTACCTCAATGAGCACATTATTTTATAAAGTGGGAAAAAACTAATAAAAGTTGTTTTCAAAAACACTGGGGAAAACTGGAAGGAAATACATCAGAATGCTATTCAGAAGTACATTATGGAAAAAAAGTATATTAGGGAGATGTATTTTATGAAATTTTTTCTTTCTTCTCTTTCAGATTTACTGTAAAGTTGTTATATGTGTTCAGTAATATTCGTAAAAGATAAAATATATGCAGTGAAATATAGAGCATATGTGGTAATTATTTTTATAATTTAATATTACATTTTTTAAATGCTCTCTGCAGCTCCTCCTCCCCTGATATGAACCTGCCTGGGTCCTGCCCTCTTCCCACTGCATGTCACTAAGTCATTCACTGGGTGAGGGGCAGCATTACTGTGGTGGAGACTCTCCTGTGCCTAGGGCTGGTTCAGGGGATGCCACTTTCAAGTCTATCCAATGGCAGAGGAGCCCTGGGAGATCCGTTTGGCTCTCAGTTCTTGACCTTGTGAGCAACTGCTCCCCCCGCACCCCTCTGTGTTCCCACATGTACACGCAATGTAGCTCCACGAATAAACGCCCTTGTTACATTCCTAAACTTTTCTAGAGGTATTTGCCTCCTGGTATGAGCTGAGTCCCATTCCCAAGGTCTTCCACTAACATCTACATCTGCCAACGTATTTCACTTTCTTCCTGGGGCCTTAGCCTTCCCATCTAATAATGAATCCCCAGTAAAAATCTTTCCTTAAATGTATTTTTTAGTGCCTGCTGCTGCTGCAGATAGCGATCATGATAACAACATAAGAGCATATGGTGGTAATAATAATAATCAACACTTATGGACAGTTTAAAACTGTGCCAGGCACGAGGGTAAGTGCTTCTACATGTATAATGCCACCTATTATTCACAACAGTTCAATAAGTGGTATTGGTGGATGAAAAAACTGAGGTTAACAGGGGCTAAGCTTGTCTCTACCCTCCACAGAATGGAAGAATGGCTGATTCCCACAGAAGGCAGATAATCTCTACTGTGGAATAGCCCAGGAAGACCATTGGGGTGCATCTGTTTGGACTTAAACCTCTGAGCTGACTCAGGGCTTTTCCCACTGAAAGCTGCCCACGGCTGGCAGGTGACCTCCTAGAAGCAATGGTCCTCAGAGCCTCCTCAGACCTGTGCCTTCCAGCTACAAACCAATGGGAGGGTGGGTACCAAAGGATGGCCTGGTGGTGATGTGGCTTTCCCCAGGTCTAAGTTCTGTCAGGGCAGTCAGTCATTAGCCAGTAAGAGTATCCGGTACTTTCTGGACATTTACATATTACATTTCTGGGAACCAAACCCAACATGTCAGTGGATCCAGTTCTAAGTGAAGAATCTTCAGAAACTCAACTTAAGAAAATGATTAAAGCTTGCATTCGTCTTTACATTTTACAAAGTTCCTCCACATATTTTATCTCATTTGGTCTTCATAATCATGCCTGGGCTTGGGTATGATTATCAGGAAACGGAGAAGTTAAGTGGTTTGCCTAAGGTCACACTGCTAATAAGTTGCAGAGTCAACTGGAAATTAAATCCAGCCTTTGACTCCCAATCTGGTGCTCTTTCCACTCTGCACAGCAGACTTGTGTGTCTTCTAACCCTTGCATTTTAGGAACTTCACAGAGTGGGCAAGTTCACCCTCAGACACCAGGAATCCTGAGGCCCAGTCTCTTTCTCCACTGAGGGATGAATTCGCTGCCTCTGCTCCTTGTCACCCCATCTCCAATTATTTCCTCCTGTCCTTATTCCTCTCAAACCGTCTTTTATCATTTGCATTTTGAAACTGTTGCCTTAATTATTCTCCTGCCGTTGGAATCCTGCTCTCCCTGTCTTTGTGGCATCCTTTGATTTATCTCTGTCTGGATAACAGCTCCCCGATTCCCCTTGGGGAATTCAATTTTCATTCATTTTTCTGCTGGGCTAGATTGATATAGACCCTCTGCCCCGGTCCATATTAGTCATCCCAGCAGAGAAAACCAGGGAGACAAACCCTAAGCCCAGCCCCTGGGGAGTCACTGTCTTGTTCGGGGAGCCACAAGGAGTTCTCCAATGAAAGGACAGGGCCCTTTGCTCTTCTCCATCTGTCCACCCAGTCCTCCCAGTCATTTGTCACAGGCCCCTTTTGTGAGCCCACCACTTTGTCATTTGTCTCCTTCTCTTCCCAGAATCTTCCAGGGATCTCTCCCTGCTGGGATGCCGATTAGTTACTGCTCATCTTAAACCTGTCCTGTGTCCTTGACACAGGAATTTAAGGGACATGGAAAAGAGATGGTCCTGTACTTGGACATCTAACTCTTAAAATGAGATTATGAGTCAGTAAGTGGCTGAGAAACGGAATAACTAAAGGGCACTGGGATCCTTAGAG